GGGGGGGGGTTTCTGCCGTGAGATGGGGATCGGGGTATGTCACTGAAGAGCTGCCACATCACGTTTCCGAACTTTGTTGTCCCTTTAACCTTGAATTTGGGCTGGTTGGGATGCAATTGCATGAGCTCATGCCAGTTTGGTCTCTGGGTGTTGTGTGAGTAATGCAGCCCCTGGTGCAGGACCCAGAGTCGGTGTGTTGGGTCCTCAGCACCCCAGAGTACGCTGTCACCGTGCTGCTGGCAGTGCCACCAGACAGGCAGAGCCCTTCTTCCTCCGTAGGCAGCCATGAGCTGATGGTGTCACCAAACCAGAGACGCAGAGGTGGCCTGGGGCTCTTTGCGGGCAGCGAGGGGTTGGTAATGCTGCTGCTGGCTTGACGTGCGGGCTTTGTCTTTCTCAGGAGTCTCCCTCTTCAGCCTGGCTGCCCTGCTGCTCCCCGAGCAGTTTCCCCACTACCTGGCCATGGTGAAGTCGCTCAGCCTGGGGCCCGCTCTCATCTACTCTGCTAAGTTCGCTCTGGCTTTCCCCCTCTCCTACCACACCTGGAACGGAGTCCGGCACCTTGTGAGTAGCCCCTGCGAGGGGCGGCGTGCGTGCTTGGGGGTGAGAGGGAAGGGGAGCGGCTGCCGGCTGCGGGAGCACTGGCTGCTGCATCTGGGAAGGTGCCCTTGGAAATGGGAATTAGTCACCTCAAGTGCTTCAGAACCTCAGTGCTATTTTTGGGTACGTTTAAGTCGCAAAGAGCTGGTACTTCACCGGGTGGCACAGCTGGCTGAAGCATCCCCCTGCGCCTCGGCTGCGGGAGACAGGCGAGGGGTGGCAGGAGCAGCGTTACAGCTGGGGGACGTGTCTGCAGGGCCACGGGCTCCAGCCCTGCAGAAATGCCACCCGTTGCTCGTTATCTCGCCCTCGTCATGCAGCCCTTGTGCTGTGATCTTCCAAGCGCTTCATATTAGCTAATGAGCCCGGAAGACGCGTGGTGGAGGATTGGAGACGGCGCTGCCTGCGCAGAAAGTAACCTGTGATGTTTGCCCGGGGCTGAAGCGAGGAACCAGCAGCTCCGTTCAGCCGAGCTTCCTGTGTTTGATGAAGGAGGGGGAGCTGGAGAACCGAGAGCTTCTTGCTGGGAACAGTACAAGACGTGCTGCTTTTTGTAGTGGATTTTGTGTTTTCTGTAGCTCCAGATAGGTTAGGTTTTACGGGAGCAAATTGCAGAGGCAGCTGGCCCGCAGTGTGACATGATCCTTCTGCTCTGGGCGGGGGGAGCATCGCGTGCGGAGCCGTGCTGCAGACGCTGATGGCTCCCAGTGTTCCCAGTGTGTAAACACGGGACTGGAGCGCCGCTGGGTGTTGTATCCTGTACCTGGGAGCAGCCATCACGAGGTGCTCTGTCAGTGCCGGGAGGTGCCTGGCCGAGCTGTTGGGGGGAACAGCAGCAGTGTGCTGCGAGAGCAGCCCCCTCTGCAGGTCCTGGGGGCGGACGGGGGCCAGCCGGCAGTGCCGTGAGTGCTCATTATCCGCTTCTCAAGCACTCGGTGTCGGAGGAGGTCTCGGAGCACGGGGCCTGCAGCTGGCTGAGCCCTGCTTGCTCATGGAGACGCTGTCGGGCAAATGGAGCAGTCATAACC